TATGTAGTTTGACGAATTATATATAAAAAAAATATAAATCTTTAAAAAGATGTGTTACTGCATGTTACTTTTAAAAGTGGAGATACTCATGAAGTAAGAAAATACTTTCACTTCTTAACCGTTACTCTTCTTTCCTGATCTTACAACCCAGCATTCACTCCTCCTTTCACTTGCCCTCTCTTGTACCACCCATTTTGAAACACCAACCCTTTCTTCTTCTCTTTCCTTTCTGCGTAACCAATGGAGAATGGGTCATCATCTAGAGCACCAAGGAAACAGGAAGAGCCAGTAAGTAGATCCGTACTAGGACAATTGTAGATAGTCTTGTTCCAAGGTGGAATGAGCAATACATTTGGGAGGTTTTTGATCCATGTACTGTTATTACAGTAGGGGTTTTTGACAATGGTCATTTACAAGGGGGAGACAAATCAGGTGGATCAAAGGATTCAAGAATAGGGAAAGTGAGAATTAGGCTATCCACTCTTGAAGCTGATAGGGTGTACACACACTCCTATCCTCTTTTAGTACTGCATAATTTAGGTATGAAGAAAATTGGAGAAGTGCAATTGGCTGTGAGGTTCACAGGCTTATCTTTAATAAATATTTATGTACATTCTCTTTGTGACATTCCGTTTCATTGCTTCTGCAGTTCTCTATGTCATTCCCTTCCAAGTTGTGTCCCTTCTCACTGGCTTCTATGTGCTAGAGTAGACACGATGTTGTAAACATGGATGATCACAACTCAAAATCTCCCAATCAGATAGATATATTCAAGCCAGGGAAGAAACAATTGTGCAACTAGCTCCTTTATCATAATGGTTCTTATAATGTGTAAGTTTGTCCACATAAAGTGCAATTTTCATTACACTGCAATTGTGTTATGCTCATCTAATGTTAATTATAAACTGTAACTAGATATTCCTTGTAACCCTATGATGTTTCCAGCATGCAAAACTAGTCCTTAGTATTATTTTTCAGCGATGTTTAGTGTAGTAAATGTTACTGTTGGTGTTGGACAGTTTATTGGGGTTGTTATAGTTATTTTCCTCAAAGTTCTACAAGAATTTGTTAGGGAAAGAGGATTTTTGGATGGAAGGAAGGACAAATTTTATATTCTAAATAAATATATTTAAAAAATAAAAAATAGAAATTAATATATTAACATAAACTTAATGTATTATTCATATATTTATTATAATAAATAATATATAATTTTGATAATTTAAAACTTTAAAATATGTCTTCCTCTCCTAAGGAATAAAAAAAATGTATGTTTCTTGCTTCATTTCATTATTCAAGAGCTATGTCACCTATTTTTCAGTTCAATCAGTTTGAATGTGCTAACCAACACATACGTTTTGATGATTGATATGTCTGTAACGTTTTATTTCTTACATATGCAGATTATGTATTTTTGTTTAGAGTAAAATATGTTTTTATTTCTTTTAAATAATATTTTTGGCTAATTTTGGTTCTTATTTTTTAAAAAATTTTAATTATCACAGTTTAAATCACGTCATACATACCATATCACATACTAGTTATCCCACTTCAAATTGTCATGGATGTAGCATGTTACTAAGCAACAACATTGATTTTTTTAAAAGATTTTAAAATTTTTAAGGATCAAAACTAAAAATGCTTTTTAAAGACTGAAAAGGAATGAAAATACTAAAAAATTTCTTAAATTATTATTTAAGGAATTCAGAATGAAAAAAAATTATTAAAATGTGTTGTTAATGTATTTTCACTATATGTAATTACAAATATATTTCAGTTTGTTTTTTAATAATAAAATTATTATTATTATCTTAAACAATATGCATAGAATTTTTTTAAGTAAAATACAACATAAATTTAGATATATTTATAGAAACTAAAAATATATTTATATTTTTTTTTCTCTCTTATTTGTTGCTTTTGAAGAATTTTGTTCTCCATGTTCATCAATTTGCTTTATGCAGTGCTAGTTCTTGATGATCTCTCTAAACTCTAGAACCTGCTTTCTATTGAAAACAAAAATTGCCCAGAGAAACGATTCATCAGAATATATCTAGTTAATTATGCTAAACGAAGTTAATGCTTTAAAAAATATGTTAACCACATCTACTGAATACTGATTACGGATCTGTTCGTATTGGAATGCAAACTTGTTAATTCTTACAGCGAGACAACGCGTTCCATAATTCATTTAAATTCTGTTTCTCTTTTCAGAAAATTATATTATATCTAATTAACTTTCGCTTATGACTGCAGCCATGTTTTAGTCAAATCGAAAATGAAATCACAAATGGCCTGCTAAGTCTAATATTTGAGGGAGTCTACACTATAGGAATTAACCCCATAATTAGCATCACATTCATAATCTTTGTAGTGTTGAAAAATTTACACACGCCCACAAGAGAGAGAGAGAGATTATAAAAAGGAATAAGAAAGGGATAGTGTGTTATAATAAAAAATAAAAACCATACTTACATACACATAATTCATATCATGATATATAACTGAGCTGAATCAAGGGAACACCTTTGCTTCTCACGTTAACGAAGAAAGAAAAAGAAAAAAGAATTTTCCAGATCAATCATTGATTAAAAACCAGATAATCAATAATGTATTAAATTAATGAATTGTGTTAAATGAATAATCCATGCAAACTCTAACTTTGAAAAATATGTTTTTTTTTCTTTCATGAATTATGTTAAATGAATAGGAAAACACAAAGTCTTTATAAAATTTTATAAAAGATTTAGAGAAAATTGAATATACTTGTTGATTGAAGTTCATTTGAATTACAAAAAAAAGAAAGTAGTACAGCAGAAATTTATATGACTAATCTGATGTAATGTTACTACTAATTACACACAACACAAGAAAATAAAACTCATAACAAAATAATTAGAACAGTTAATTTTTTAACTAACTATTCTCTGCGTGAGCTGTCTTAGTAGCTAGTTTTATTACCCTCACACAATGTAAGGTCCAAAATACTACTCTAAACATGAATAATGCAAGGTGAAAAGTGTATACATGTGTGATTTTATGGTCTCCATGTGATAAGGCCTGTTGGTCCAAAAAATAAATTTTAAATTCGTTAGTTACACCCATACTTTGGAGTATATATATTCATTTGGAAGGATTTTCATAATTATCTATGACTATTTATGTTATTAACTACCAGATCAAATGCAGAAAAAAGTGAGATAAATAATCGATACTACTTAAAAGATTCATCTTTAGATAATAGATACTGTAACTAGTATTCCTGTAATTAGTTTAATTGGTATATTTTTTTTATGGTTCATATCTTATACTTACTCCTCAACCTATACCACATTTTGTTCTTCCACTTATCTTACTCTTCCCAACTCTTCTAATTCTTTTTCCGTTATTAGATAAAAGAGTTTAGTTGACAAAGTTAGTCCTTCTATATTTTCTTATATAAGTTGGAGTTAAGAGATAAAGGAAAGCGGGATAAATTTTGATCTACAGCTGTAGTATTGAATAAAATTTAGAATAATATCTTTAAGAATAAAAATTTATTAATTAAAAATACTCAACAAATTTAAAGTTACGGGAATACAATATAGAGATATTTACGAGATAATAAGAAATTAATAATGATAAAAGTAAAATGAATTTTAATATGCTTCTTTTGAAGAAATTTTCGAAGACTCGTAGTTAGAATTATGTGTGAGATAATAAATGAGTATTTTCTATATGAATTAGAAAATGGTTTTATTTCCTGTGAAGTGTGTAGCACTAGAATGATTTGCGCACACTACGCAGTTGCATACCCGAAACTCTTTTATCCAAATAATAAAATAATAATTCTCCACGGAAGGATATGAGGAGACTCGGACATCCATGCATTGCATTAAATGTGTGACGGTTATATTTTGGATAACTCAAGCTTTTGCATTTCTAGAACTAATGACTATCTCCCTCACACACTTGTTTAGTGCAATAGGCTGTTACATTTTTTATTCATAAAAAATTATTGATATTTGTAATAATTATTTTCAAGCTATAGTTTATAATATTTTTAATTGATAGATTATATTTTAAAATTAAATTACACTTAAAGGAACCTTGGAACAACAGTGACACCCCTCCCATGTACAACGATAGTCATTGTCCTAAGTCACGAAACTTTTTGATGACTCGTTAATCTTTTCCAATTAAGTAAAAAAAAGTAATTTTTTATTATAGAGATAAATATGCATGAATTATTTTTGACACTAAACATTTATCAAGTTTTTATAAAAAAAAGTTGATTACAATTATTTTGTAAATTTATAATTAAATTAAATACATATGTTTTCTGAATATAATTTTTTATAGTTAATATTATTTATAAACCAATTTAAATAATATTAATAATGTGAAAAGAATTATATGGTTGCATGAAAGTTTTACAATAGTGGTATAGGGTTTTTTATATCGAAAAAAATAAATATTAAAATATAAAATTTTAGAAAGAATTATGAAAATATGTTTTAATTTTTTATAATTTTTTAAAAAATCGTAGTGATTTTTATTATTTATTTTTTTTAATAATTTTTAAAAATGTCAATAATAATTTTTAATATTTTTATTATTTTATTTTTATTTTTTTTATTTACACAATAAATAACAATTTTTGAGTTTTTCTATTTTTATAATTTTCTCTAAAATTTCATATTTTACTATATATTAGTTTTAAATGTCATATTAAAATAAAATAAAACCCAGTAGTATATTATGTTTTAATTTATGCAGGCAAGTTAGGCATGTGAATAACTTAGATCTTTGGATCGTGGAAAAAGCAAAAGAGCAAAGCGAGAGAAGAAGAGGCATTGACCATTTCTTTGCCTCCAAAATCCATAACGTCAAACAACCTCTCTTTCTTCCCTTGTTTTTCTCTCTTTCACTTCCTCTGCCCCAAACACCCAAACGTAACAACAAACGAAAAAATTAACACCAAACAAACAGAACCCCAGTTTTTGCGCCAATGCGCCACCATGGAACGCCGGAAAACGCTGACCATGAGCTGGGACGGCCTTGGCGACGTTGACGACGACGACGCCTTCTTTGAGTCCTACAACCGCCTCTCCACGGCCGTTCCCCACGACCTCGCTTCTTCCTCCGAAGATGAAGATGAAGATTTCGACGACCCTCGATTGTCCTTTGCCTCAGCCATTTCCTCTGCTCAATCTCGAAAACCTAGAGCCACTCCACAGACCGATCCAGCTCCAGATTACGGGATATGGATGGCAGCCCCTGCTTCAATCAGCGAAAGAAGAAAGCGATTGCTCCATGGCATGGGCCTCGACGACAACAAAGAGTTCTTGAAGGCCACCAGCATCAAGCTCAATCACGCAATCTCAAGAAAGTTTGAACAAGAACAGGACAATCCTGTTTCTTTAAATTCAACAAAGACATCAAAGCTTCCTCCCACCACTGTTACTGTTACTACTTGTAATTCCTCCTCTATTACTGAGGAGAAAAGAACAGAGCCAACAGAGCGCACCTCTGTTCCTCTGGGTTTGGTTCGGTCGCGTTCTGAGAGCGACATGGATTCGTTCTCCGTTGAAAAGTTCAGGAAAGAAGAGTTGATCGGCAAGGCGTCGAAGCAGCGCCTCATGAGGACTGCCACTGACATAGCCTTTCCTCGGAAGGTTGCTAATAATGCTGATGGAAACAGAGTGGGGGTGAGGGATTCTGATGAAACAGGACGATCCAAGCGTAAATTGGAGGAATCAGGAGTACGAGCGTTCTTCTTGATAAAGAATTTGGATACTGGAAAAGAGTTTATTGTGAACGAGTATGGTGAAAATGGGACGTGGAATAGGTTGAGTGACTTGCAAACTGGGAAGCAATTAACGATGGAGGAGTTTGAGAAGACAGTGGGGCAATCGCGCGTGGTGAATGAGCTGATGAGGCGTGCGAACGTTGGAAGGAACGAGGGTTACTCGAGGAAATTGTCGTCGAGTTCGTATATTTCGAGGAGTTTGAGGATGAGCAAGAGGAGAGGTGCTGCATTGTTGAAGAACATAAAGGGTGTGGCCAGTGGCTTCATTGGGGAGAGAGAAAGGGAAGCGGTGCATGTGCAGGCGCAAGTGACGGAGGCAAAGAATCAATGGGTGAAAGTTCGGCAAAGTGGCAAGTCACACAAAGAACTCTCAGCGTTGCATCTTTGTCAAGAGCTTCTGGCTCATGAAGGATGCATTTGGACCATTAGGTTTAGCTTAGATGGTCGTTTTTTGGCGAGTGGTGGAGAGGACAATGTCATTCACGTTTGGGAAGTTCAAGAATGTGAGGTCATGTCTCTGAGGCCTGACGAGGGAAATCTCACTCCCCTTCATCCCTCACTGCTCTCTTCCGTTGACCGAAATGCCCAAACAGAGCCTTCTTCTTCACCTTCTTGGAGTCAGAAGAAGAAGAAAGGCAAATTTGGAAGCAAAAGAGGGAGCCTCATTCCAGAATATGTTCATGTTCCCGACACTGTTTTCTCCCTTTCTGAGAAGCCACATTGCTCTTTTCGAGGACATTCGGATGATGTTTTGGATTTGTCTTGGTCTAAATCTCAGGTAATGCTTCTCTCCAACCCCCTTTCCTCTTCCTTTTTTTACCTCTTATGATTTCATTCATATAATTCATACGTTTTATTATAATTTTTATATATTTTTATAAGTGAAATCTCATAAATCTACTTAAGTGGGATTTTTTACTTCGTAAAAAAACTTCAAATTAAATATATTTTCTATTTTAATAATATTTTAATTTTGGTTCTCTCTTTTTTTTGTACTCTAATTGTTTTAAAATTCAGCTCTTTTAATTTTTTTTTATTTTTATAACCTAACAAAAATTCACACATGCTCACTTAAATAACTTTTTAACTAACCAGGAAGAACAAAGTATATACATGAAGGGAGAGTTATTATCAAGTCATGTACTTAATAACTTTTATTAGGACGTGAGATTGATTAATCTAATTATTAAATTATACTATATTATTTTTACGATTATGTATATTAAATTTTATATAATTTATATGTTATTTAAAATTTAATATTTATTCCGGTTACTTTATTTTAATATACAATATATTTTTAAAATATAAATAAATATTAAATTTTGTATAACATATTTATAAATGAGTAAATTATACTATAAAATTTAATATATATGATCGTGAAATAATATAAAATAATTTAATAATTAAATTTATTAATTTTATTAATTTTATATTTTATGAAAAATTATTAAAGTAGTGTAAGGGTTAGTTTGACATTTAATGTCAATAAATCTTAACTCATATAATAATAATAATAATAATAGAAAAAAAAAAAGAGCGTTCTCTCGTGAGAGAATATTTGCAAGATCAAGATCACTTTCGTATTTCTCTTTGCCTTACGATACAAAATATAATAAGAACTTCAATTTTGATGGATTTTCATTTCCAATTGCAGTTGCTTCTCTCGTCTTCGATGGATAAAACAGTGAGATTATGGGATTTGGAAACCAAGACTTGTTTGAAGATGTTTGCTCATAATGACTATGGTGAGACTCATATGTTCCGATTCTAGTCAATTATTTTAATGTTGTATATGATTTTCAACCCCTTGGATGGTATGTTGTTACTACGTGTTTGATGAGGGATTGGATATTGCAGTAACCTGCATACAATTTAATCCTATCGACAATGATTATTTCATAAGTGGTTCACTTGATGCTAAGGTCAGAATATGGAACATCCCTGAACGCCATGTTGTGGATTGGACTGATATCCATGAAATGGTTACTGCTGTCTGTTATACCCCTGATGGTCAAGTATGGTTTTCTTCCACTAACCATTTTTATTTGTACTTGTTTTCTTTTACTTAATTAACTTTCCCTTCCTAAGTAGTGTTGATAACTCCCAAGACAAATCTCAATTTGCCGTATGTTTAGAGAATTTCCTATAAAATATTGTTAATTGTTAAATAATAAAGTAAATATAAATAACATTAATTATGCATTGGTATTGATCTTGCTCATTGCTATTGTAGAGTGCTTTTGTTGGTACACATAAAGGGAGTTGTCGTACCTATAGCACAGAAGGTACTACTTGTTCCACCATTGTATTCATTTTTTTTTTATCTCCACTTGAACCATCTTGGAATCTATTTAGAAATTTACCATGTCATTTCATTCTTTAATTTAAAATTATACAATTTAAGTTGTTAATTATCTTTTGCATATGCTGAACCAGATTGCACATTAAGTCAAACAGGCACTATTGAGCTTCGACGCAAGAAGAAATCTCAACTAAGAAAGGTCACTGGTTTTCAGGTAATTGTTATCTTCATGTGCAATAAGCTAGCTTCAGTTTGATGTAAGGAAATCAAACTTACTAGTTTGTTATCTTTATATATAGTTTAACCCAAGTAAACCATCAGAGGTGCTCGTTACTTCAGCTGATTCAAGGATCAGAATTTTGGATGGTTCAGAAGTCATTCACAAGTTTAGAGGTGCTTCATCATATTATCTGAAGTTACTTGTTCATCTGCTAAAAGCACAAACAATTCTTGCATGAAAACAAACTTCTATAAGCACAGTTACGAAGGATGGATATAAAATAATAATTTCATGTAAGAAATTATTTTAAAGATAATCCTATTCTCGCTCAAATTTTTGCCAAAAGTTTTACAATTCGTTATTTTCTGTGTGTCTCGTTATCTCATCATCCACCTCATTCTACACTTCTCTCTTCATATTTATGTTAAAAGAGATGTTGTGAGAAGTAAAACATTTTTTATTTAAAAACATCCCAAGCATAACGCCTCTTATATTCCTTTCTTTTATCACATCACATATATCACTTGTTACGTCTATTACTTTTTCTTTTTTTATTCTAAGGTGGGGTAAATTAAAATGGATTGAAAATCACATCGATAGGTGCCTTTTTACGTTTTTTATTAATTTTTTTTTACTTATAATTCTTTGACCAGGGTCCTAAGACACTAGTTAGCATTTTCCAAATAACATAATTTTTATTTTAATACCATTATGAGCTTTCGATAGGTTTTGCTAGTAGACAGTACTGTTCTCATTCAGAAAGTGCTTAAAATACAACTTGTTTTCTGCATGTGTCAAGTTATCTGACAATATATTGGTTTTGGACATCGACAGGTTTTAAAAATGCCAACAGCCAAATTGCAGCTTCATTTAGTCCGAATGGGAGATACATTATTAGTGCAAGTGAAGATTCTCAAGTATATGTCTGGAAACATGAAGAGCATGGAAGCGCAAGCATTGGGAAAGGTAGAAATATTATTGTAACCCGATCTCACGAGCACTTCCAATGTAAAGATGTTTCAATAGCAATAGCATGGCCCTGGACCAAAAGGGGTGATCCCCTACCAATGCCAATGAATAAATCTAAAAGGCATTCAAAACATTCTCAGGCATCTTCTAGTTTTAGAGAAGACACCACTTTTGGAACAAACAGTAAGAGAATGTTTCCACCTCTTCCCAAGAAGAGTAATAACCATACAACAGAAAATAACACTTCTTCCCCAAAGGAAGATCTTGCAGCAATTTCACGCACAGAATCTGGATTAGGTTATTCATTTTCAAATAGTAAGAGAATGATGCCACCACCTCCGGTGAAAACTAACTGCCACTCCACAGAAGAAGAAGACCATGATGCAATTTCGCGCACAGATTCAGGAATTGGAGATTCATTTAGTTCAAGCTCATCATCATCAGTTAGGTGTGGTGATTCACCTTCAATATCTGATGCTGCCACTTCATCATGGTCTTCTTCTTATTCATTATCCGAAATTAACCATGGTTCCTCAACAATACATCCTTCAGCATGGGGCTTGGTAATTGTGACAGCTGGGTATGGAGGTGAAATCAAATGTTATCAAAATTTTGGGTTACCCAGAAGGTTGGGTCGGCAACCCCATCTTTTTGGAGGTTATAACAGTTTCTCTCATGGTAACACCTAGCAATTTTTTTCTTCGGTATTTCTCTCTCAAAGGCAAAGCCTCTGTCCTATACTAGCACTTTTCCAAGATATAAGAAACTAATGGAAGCCCCTCACTAATTTAAAATGTAGGAATGAAACATGATGAAAATCTCAAAATTTCTCGTGAAATTGGTATTTACAGTGGCAATTTTAATATATGTAATCCCTCTACTTGGCAGGAACTTAACATTGTTGTAAACTAAAATTTAGTGACAGAACAGTTATAGAATATAGATAATTTCGAGACACCGCAAATAGCATTCAAATGTAACAGAAGAAAGAAGGAAAAAAATAGAATAAAAATGCTTCGAGATATCATATATTATTCCTTTGTTGAGTTTGTATCTCAAGTAACATTTGTACTCATAGTTGTATATATGCATGAACTAAATGAATTCAATAATAGTTTATAGCAATGGAGCCACGGAAAAGTGGATACATAAATTAATTTATACAACAATAAAATTTTAAAAAGTAAAGCTAAATGGTAACATAGAAGATTAGATAGCTTGTTTCATTTATTAATTATTTTTTTGTTTCTTTTTCTTCAGACACCATGAATCATGTAATGTTTTTCACATAAAGGAATTGTTGAAAAATATCATTTCTCTATTTTTTATTATTATACGTCATTAAGTAAATAGTAGGAAACCTTATAACGAGTAAAACACTACAATACAACTCTAAAATCTTAAAATAATAGATATATAGATCTATTTCTTTATAAACTCTTAACTTGTTCATATCTATTTTATGTGAGACTTAATTCACACTTAATTCTAAAACTTTTCACCAATTCTAATGGAACCTCTAAAGTATCATTTGCATGCATAACAGTTCAAATACGTTCTAAATGGGATTTGTAGCTATGATAGTATGAACTTTTATCATTTTGAAGAATTAGGTGATGAATAAATTTTGCTTCTCAAAAATGAGAAAATTTATTAAATAATAAGTCAAAAGGGCTAGTATATCCACTGCTAACAAAGGAATTATCCTTGATGGGTCATCCTCCTCCAATCCTACAAAACTACAAAAGAACTGAAGTTAAAGTACAGATTGGCCACATAATCTACTACTTGATTTTTATCTCCCTTCACATGGAATATCTTACACCAGCTCACCAAGTTAAAAAAACAAAGTCATGTTCTAGACAATCTTTAACAATATCATCAAACTATGTTTCTCTTGAAGCCTTCTTCCTTCATTTTTTGAGCGCTTCTCACCAGTTTGTCTCCAAAAGCAAGTCTGTGAAGTTGAGATATATAGAAATTCTCATCGACCATCATAGAGCTGAAGCCTATGCAATTTTCGCAACAAGATCTCTGAAGTGTATTGTAGCTGTCATTAAGCTTCCTTGTAAGCACCGAATAAAAGATTCCATATATATAAAAAAGAAGGAAAATATCTCCTAAGATATCAGCAGATGATTACGTATTTATACAGAAAGAATGCATTTGAATTTGATATTTGAATAAAGAAGAACAATAATTATCAACTAAAATACAACATGACAACTCATAATTCATTCGATCATACGGGTACCCGCGTGAGATACGTAAATTTTAAAAAATTTAGAATACAGATGCATTAATATAACTTTTTAAAAATTTACACACACATATATATATATATGATAAAATATTATATAAAAAATAAAATCATAAATGTATCTATAATACATTTTTATAAATGATAATAAAATGTTTTATAATAAAAACAGTAAATATTAATATCATCAAATTTTACAAAAAAAATAAATATAATTATTAAATTAAATAATAATAGTTTCAATTTCATTATTTTCTTACCTGTTATTAATGAAAAAAAACAAACTCTAAATCTGGTTCATCAAAAGAAAAATTAGTAATTTTAAGAATTTTAATTTGTTCAAATGATTCCATTCATCTTAAAAAAATCATATTGTTGAAAACAAATCGAACTAAAGAAACTAAGTCAAAAAGTAAGACAAAGACAATCTGAAAAATTTGTAGGCTTTTTAGTGGGAAAACAAAGGATTTGAGCCAACCAATTGAAATTTCACAAGAGTACACTCCTTTTTATGTGTTTCTTGTTCCACTTCTACACACATAAAAGAAATCGATTAACAAAAGAAACCTCCCCCAAATATTGTCTAATGTCACATAAAAAATTAGGCTATAAATAGAAAGTGGCTCTTTTTCACTTAGCTCAACAAATCTAATCCTTTTTTTAAGTTTAAGCATGAAATATTCATCTAAAGGCCACTCCATACACTTTTCTTTTTTATCCCAGACCCGTATAGACCATAAAACATAAAACAAACAACATTTTTTTTTGGGTTGTAGTATTGTCTAATCTTCCACGTAAACAAAGTGTTATACACGATTTACAATATTAATATAGTTGAAATTTCAAGTTTTATAAGTAATATGATGTTTGATACAGAGAAAATTGACAAAAGAATCATTTTTGACTTGTGGCAATTCATGCTTGTGACGAGATGATTCACAAGAAACAAATAATTTAGGATGCAGCAGAATCCGAAAAGAAACAAGTGAATGAAACAAAAAAGGTTTTCTCTCAAAAGCGAAAAAAAGTCTTTATAAAAAAATAAAATTATGAAAGGAAAAAAGAGTTACAAAATCAACCTTTTGACCCCTATATATACTGGTCTTAAATGAAAACAGAAATAAATAGGTCAAAGCCTCTGCAAGTAATTATAATAAAAGCCCTAAATAAAAATCTTAAATATAAAAGGTATGTTTTAAATCTGAACTTCAAAAATTAATAGAAAATAGCTTCGAACTCCAAACAGCATGATCCGTGTCCAAATTGAAGCCCAGGAAGTCAAGAATCCATTGCAAAAAGAATTAGCCAAAAAGAAGATTTACAGAAAAAGTTATGGCCGAAATAGTGGACAAAGGTCAGAATAGCGAAAATATGAAATATAAAGTAAAGTTAGCAAATATTAATAAAAACTCCAATTTAATGCAAAAAATGTAAAAACATGCTAAATGAAATAAATAAAGAAGGAAAGATATTTTAGAAGATGCAGTAAGGCTATAAATGTGAGTACAAAATATGAATCATCAATGCCTAACTTGCCAGAAGGCGAAGGTAGAGCACTAGCATCTGCCTAGACTATTGCAACTCCTAGAGATCCCTGAGTAGAAGTAGGATAGTATTTCCATGAACTTTGTTTCTGGGTTGCTGAGGACCAGGAACAACCATGACGCCATTTTGGTGATAATGGACCAGTTGACCAAGGCTGCACACTTTCTTTCGATCAACATAAAGTATAAGTTGGAGAAACTTGCAGACTTGTACGTAAGAGAGATAGTCAGGTTGCATGGAGTGCTAACTAGTGTGGTGTTTGACAAAGATCCAAGATTTACCTCAAGGTTTTGGGAGAGCCTGCAGAGGACGTTGGGAACTAAGTTGAGATTTAGTTCGGCTTATCACCCGTAGACCGACAGTCAGACTGAGAGAACTATCCAGTCCCTAGAGGACTTGTTCAGAGCTTGTGTGCTTGAGTAGCAGAGAACTTAGAAAGAATGTTTGCGGGTGGTGGAGTTCACGTATAACAATAACTTTCACACCGGCATTGGGATGGCACTGTTCAAGGCTTTGTATGGGCAAAGGTGCATAACTCCATTGTGTTGGTATGAAACTGGAGAGGCGACTCTGTGTGCACCAGATATGATCCAAAAGCAAAATGAGTAGATTAAAAGGATCAAAGAAAAGATGAAGGCTGCACAAGATCAACATAAGAGCTACTATGATAGGAGGAGGAAGTCTTTGGAGTTCTAGGTGGGTGACCATGTGTTTTTGAAGGTCTCACCTGTGACTAGAGTTGGAAGAGCTCTGAAATCTCGAAAGCTATATCCTAAGTTCATTGGCTTATTCGAAGTGCTGAGTAGAATTGGTCTTGCAATGTATCAGATAGCGTTACCTTCGAATCTCTCAAACCTACATCCGGTGTTCCATGTGTCTCAACTCAGGAAGTATGTGCCGGATCCTTCTCACGTAATCGATCTAGATTTGGCTCAAATAAGAGAGAACTTGTCCTACGATGTGTACCTGGTGAGGATTGCGGATCACCGTATTAAACAATTAAGGGGTAAGAAGATCTCATTGGTAAAGGTGATATAGAGCTCAAGTGATGAGGAAGATGCCACATGGCAAACAGAGAGTAGAATGAAAGAGTTGTATTTGGAATTGTTCGTGTAAATTGTGTGTTTGGTTGAATTTCAGAGATGAAATTTCCTAAAGCATGGGAGAGTTGTAACGCCCCAAATTTTGTAATAATATTTTGATATAGTAATATAAGTGTATATATGGATTTTCATATGTTTATGTGTTTGATTTATATATAAGATGAAGTGAATATGTGTGTGATGACGTGGACGTGTATGAATATGTAAATATGAGTATGAGTGTATATGTTGGTTTGTGGTTGAAGTTGAAATTGTTGAGTATGATTGGAATTGGATTAAAAATAGGCTAAGTGTGTGTTGTAGAGGCATCCTCGTTGCAGCGAGAGGATTTTCGCTGTAGTGAAAGTGCCCTAGGCGAAGCTGGTGCATCTGTTACGTTCTTGCTGTAGCGAGAGTTCTCTTGCTACAGCAAGAGGGCAACAGAGAGAGGGTATTTTCTGGGTGTAATCTCGCTGTAGCGAGAAGGTCTTATTGTAGCGAGAGGGTCTCGCTGTAGCGAGATTCTATAGAAACCAGAGTGCAATTTCCTCTGAGATTTTCATTGTAGCAACAAGGGAAGTCGTTGCAGCGAGAGTGTCGCGACTAGAGAGGTATTTGAAGGGTTTAGGGTTTGAAAAATTCATTTCCCACTTTTTCCTTCGAGATCTCTCTTTGTTCTCTCGATTCTCAACCTATTCTTACCGATTAAATTGCCTCAAAAGCTGTTTGGGAGCTAAATAGAAGGTGGTGGTCATGTTTGAAGCTTTTGGAGGTGGGTTTCAATGGCTAGGATTTCGATTTTCGTCCATATTCTTTGTTTTCTTGGTTCTCTTTGTGTTCTCATGGAATTCTTCCATGTATTTAGGATGAAATTCATGTAAGGGACGCTTTCATTGTTGATTTGGGTTGTGAGCCTTCGATTTGAGGTAAGGGAGAACTCTATGCTATCTCCTTGTGTTTTTAATTAGTTTATATTAATAAATAATGTAATGTGGTTGAGATAGAATGTAGGGATATCCTTGTTTTGATAGAGGATTCTTGATTGAGCATGATGAAATGAATATTATTCATGTGTGTGATGGAATGGCTTGACTATGGTAGGGTTTCTATGAAAATTTGGATGTTGAGTGTGATGTAACTGAATGTGGGCCTACGTGTCGTGTGTGGAAGTGAATATTGTAATATGATTGAGATTGTGGGTGAAACTATGTGTTAACATGTCATCGCTTGATGCGAAATAATTAAATGGTTGGAAATGTGTGTGAATGGCATGTTGATGTTGATTGTGATTGTGTTTGAATATGTTGGAAAGCTATGAATGATTTAGTAATATACTGAGGGTGTGGAAGATGGGGGTGGTAGAAATAAATTAGAAAAGAGAGGGTGGTGGTGACACCAACAGTAAGTGTAGGTGCACCACAGGCCACACGCTCTCCTCCTGACCCGGCCTCTGACTAACGCTTTTGCCAAAGGGCCCGTGATCGCATACATTATATCTGTGAGGTAGGGGTTATCCGGCCACCATCCATGGTGGAAAACTGAGTAAGTCCCTAAGGTTGAAGACATCAGAAAAACTGTTATCGCAGTGTCACAATGAGTGTGGCTAACATGCAGTGAATGCACATGCGTGTATGGATTGTTTAATGGTGCAGTGAGCGCACCTGTGTGTGAATGAGAATGAAACAATGGAACTAATACTTTGTACTTGTTGATGCATGATTTAAATTATGTTAGAAACTGTTTATACGTGGAATGGGCAAGGTGAGACTCTATGCTTGATTATGTGTGTGATAGAGTAGAGTACTTACCCTTACATTTATTTTTCAGGTGATCAAGATGATCAGCAACGGGTTCAGTGAAGGGATGGATGAAATTACTATAGGACTTAGAAATTTATTTGAAAATTTTGATGTATTTAAATTAGTCCTGTAGCATTGATTTGACATGAATTGTAATCCACTTTATTTTGAAAGACATTACTATACTTATGCACTGGAAAATTATTTGAATGAAATTTTACTATTTCTAATTTTATGAAATTTATTTATTTAGAAAATTAAATTAAGGTGTTACAATTCACACAATAAATATCTCAACCACATATTCTCATAAGATGTTTAACAGTGCCCTATGAGCACAAAATAAATATTGTAATATAATGATAAAATAGAACCCTCTTTATCTCAAAGACGAGTTTACTAAGAGATGTTGAAGAGGACCAAGCATTAACTATGGAAGTTCTCTTGAATACCAAAAGATATCCATGAGAAACAAAAACAAGAAAAACGATCAGAGAAAATCAAGTTTAATTCGAAGAAACTTACTTGAAGTCATTTAGGTTCAACGTCCAAGCTCAGCTTTGAAGAGAAATCAGAGTTTCTGAGACTTTTATCTAGGTAAAAAGAAGAGAGAGTTCAGAGAAAACTGAGAGAGGGACGTGAGTTTAAAATGAAATGAAATTTTTATGCTTAAAATCTCTTAAATACCCCTCAGCTCCGTGAGCTTTCGCTTGAGCGAGGAACATCTCGCCTGAGCGAGATATGCAAACAGTGTTCTTGCCTACTATTTTTTTGATATGTTCGCTTAAGCAAGCTCCATCTCATTTGAGCGAGATGATGTCCAGTCCTGTGAGTCATCGCCTAAGCGACCTATCTCACCTGGGCGAAATTCCAGTTTGCCTGAGCGAGATCACTCTCACCTGGGCAAGGTGAGAGTTAGGCTGCATTTATCTTATCTCTCGCTCAAGCGAGATAGCCATGCAACATTGTATTCCTGCACGCTCAATCTCGCTTGGGCGAGATTTACCTCCCCTGAGCGAGATCTCCTGCACCAGAATCCTTCCAAAAATTCTCTATACTCTCTTCTAAATGCACTCTAATACTACTTAATATTAAACAAAATATAAATTACCGAAAAATGAAAAAAGGATGTTACACTACTCTCACCATTTTAGGAATTTCTCCCTGGAAATTCACTAATTCAAAAAGAGATGAGGATATGCTTCCTTCATTTTGTCTTCCGGCTCCCAAGTGGCATCTCCTTCATCACTTGCATTCCAAATTACTTTTACCAATGAAATTTCTTTACCCCTTAGTTGCTTGACTCGATGATCCACAATCTTCATAGGAAAAACATCATATGACAAATTTTCATGAACTTGGATAGGACCAAGTTCAATCACATGAGAGGGATCCGCAATGTATTTCTTCAACTGCGACACATGAAACACAGGATACAGATTGGACAGATTTGGGGTAAGGCAATATGATACGCTCTAGGACCAACTCTACTCATAAATTCGAATGGTCCACTAAATTTAGCAGATAACTTTCGAAATTTTAGTGTTGTATCGACTCTAGTAAAGGGTGAGACTCGTAAAAATACGTGAGTACTAACTTGAAATTCCAATGGTTTCCTTCATTGATCATGGTAGCTCTTCTGGCTATCTTGAGCAACTTTTATTTTTGCTCTAATCATCTTCACTTGATCATTCTATTTTTGTACTACATCAGGCGCATACAGAATTGTTTCTCTAGCTTTGTACCAATATAGGGGAGTTCGACACCTCCTTCCATATAATGCTTCATATGGTGTCATTCTGATGTTTGCATGATAACTATTATTGTACATGAATTAAGCTATGCCAAGTGTAACAACTCATTGAGATTGCATAATTTGACCTCCCATTTAATCTGCACTTCTTAATGTGATTCAATCAAACAAATTTGGAGCAATCGACTTCGAGACTCATTATTCTTATTTTCACTCAGTTAGAGCTACAGGTTACAAGATAATATAACAATCAGAATAATTTGACTATGAAATTTTAAATAAATATTTTTTCTTCTACTTATTGTTTAAAAGAAGAAATGATATAAGTTCTCTTATGTAATAAGACTGTGCAAATCTGCATAAGGCCTTAAAAATAGAGATGTTAAACTAATTTTTTGATTAACTATATTTGTGTAACTGATTTAATGTTTTAAATTCACTTTCTAAAATTAATTTTTATTTATTTATCCAAATTTATATATATGAAAATATTATTTTATATCTTTACTCATTAAATATCTACGCTATATCAGTTCACAAAATTTTATCATAATTACGTTTTATGACTAATATTTTATTATTAATCTTAATTCTTATAATTAAAAAATTACACATTTAAAATAATATTTTTAAAAAATAATTATTATATTAAAGATATTAAAATAAAATAAATATTTAAATTAATTACTACTATTATTTTTATATTTATATTTATGTTTTAAATTTTAAAATATTATAACATAATAATTTTATTATTATTTATATTATCATTTTTTATTTTTATAAGTTTTAACTTAAACTTTCATCATCAGCTTTGTTTATTAAAATTAAGTTAAAAATAATAATAAATATTTTATAAAATATAATATAATTATTAATATTGCTAAAATATTTTTAAAACACAATAATTTAATGTAATAATGCGTATAAAAAAATAATTTTATCTTAAAAACTAAATTCATAAATATATTAAAAATTAGTTTTGTCTTAAAAATTAAATTTAAAATTAATTTAATGTAAGATTAAATTTAAAATTAAATTCTATAAAAACTAAATTTAAAATTAATTTTAAACTAAATTTAAATTTTAAAATTACTTTTAAGTTGATTAAAAGAATAAAATTAAATAATTTAAAATTCAATTCATATAATTAACTTGTATGGTTGATAAATGATAAAAAAAATATAATATATATAAACATTTATTAATGTAATATAATATAAAAATAAAAAATTATATTATTAATAAATTAAAATATATATAAATATAATTTTATATTGGTTATTATAAAATTTAAATATTTTTAATATAATAATTTATAATAATATAAAAATATAATATAGTAAAATTTTATATTAGTTATTATAAAATTTAAGTATTTTTTATTATAATAATTTAATAATA